TGCCCGCTCTCCTGCAGGCTTTGGAAATATTGACGCATCTCAGGGTCTCCGGTCTTAGTCCGGGCCAAGAGCTGCATGTCCGTGTCCAGGGGACCTGGGGATAGAGCAACAAAAAAAGAAATCACATAAGGAGCAAGCAGAACCTGGGGCTCTGTTTCCCTCTGTACCTGGCTTGGCTGCAAGAATCTTGCATCCACAAAGGCAGGAGAAAATTAACAGCAATTAATGAGCTCCCCTCCTCACCTGGGGCGTAGTTGAGGACACGGACATCAGGCTCCTCGAGTGCCAGCACCTGGAACATCATGTCCCGGGAAGCCTTCCCGCTGCAGTACAGCGCCCAGTTCTTGAAGGGCTTCACGGCACAGAGCGAGGAGATGTTCACCACCGTCCTGCTCGAGCCGGGCTGCTTCCCGAAGGCTTGCAGGGCGGCGGAGGTGAGGCAGAGCGCCGAGGTGACGTTGAAGGCAAAGTAGCTGTTGATCTCTTCTGGGTCGGTGAGATCAAGGAAGGATTTGGAGATGTCTCCCAGGGAGCCTAGGAAGGAAGGAAAAATGAGGCTGGGGTAGTTAAAGATGGGTTCAGCAACACAGCAAACCCCTTTTAGAATCATGGAAGGACTTGGTGCGAGCTATACCAGCAAGGAAGAGTTTCTGAATGTCTGGAAGGGTGTTGGATGCAAAATTGCTGTGGCAGTGTAGCCTGACTGTCCGTACTTGCCTAGTATAAAGGCCAAGAAGGTGCAGAAACGCTTTGTAGTGGTTTAGTGAAAGGCTGGCAGAAATCCCGTCTGTGAAACTCTCATGAGCAGAACACACATAGTCATAACTTAAATTGTTGAGGCCAAAGTGAAAACAAGGTAGAGTACAGTGGGGGGTAGGTTTTTTTCCCTAAGAATATTGGTAGAGACCTTATTATAAAAAACTTTAAAAATTATAAATACTGAATGAATTGCTTTGTGTTGATGCTTTATCTAAATGCTGTCTCTTCCTAGCAAATGTGGTTGCGTGTAACACACCCAAACACGTGTGTGCTTCATAGGCGTACTGTAGGAATTGCTTATCAAATCCACTGAGACCGAGTCATCCAGTGAGACACCTACCCATACCACACCATGGTTTTCTAGTTCCAGTTTAACAGAAATAATGTTGGGGATATAGAGTGAGATTGCAAACTTTTGTTTTGGTCCAACCTATTGAAAAATTGCTTTAACACACTTTTCATCATGTATCTCCTCATTTATATTCAACTGCTGTCCTGGGATTTGCCAGACTCGAAGATTTTTCATTTTACTATTCCTCTGCTTAAATAAAAAAAGGTTAAAAAAAAAAAAAAAAAAAAGCCCCTGAAGCCAGCAAGGATTCAAGGTTGCAAGCAAAGCACCTGCAAGGCAGGGCCAGATTTTCTGAAGGTTGGTACTCGCGGAGCGGTAGGAGGGTGCCCAGCGGGTCCCACACCGTTACAGTGGAAAACCCTGCGAGCAGCAAAGCACCGCGGTCCCGGCAGCGAACCGGGCCCC